AAGGTAATTCTTGTAGTTCTCTTACTTCTCTTAAAATGAAAACAGTCATTTATTTATTAACATAAAGTTATTTTTGAAAAGGGGGTTTATCTTGGTTATATTACTTCTCTTAAATTACTACTCCGTATAACTTAAAATGATAAGTTAGTGTACTTAAAAGAAAATTTCTTAATTCTCTTAAAATTAAAAAATCACTTATTCATGACAATAAACCATATGTAATTCTCATTAATAAAAATTACCCCCCTCCCCCTCAATACCCCTACACAGTCTAGCTCCCAAGGAGGCCCATAAAGTAGATGCACCTATCTATAAACCAGTGCTACAATACAGAGAAATGTATGAGTTTACAACTTTACATTATTACCATGTTTCCGAGCTGACATCGGCTGGAAGAGTTTTTTTAGCCTGACCATATATGAATTCAAACAAAATTCAAAGAAAGCTCATCGGTGACCGCCTGATAAAAAAGAAAATAAAAAATCTTCAAATAGCAACCAGCAGAATTAATAGAATGCATTAAACAGTATGCAAAAGTGAAAGTAAAGAACAGCAGATTTAAGGCATAATATCAAGGACATTAAATTCAGATATGATCCTTTATAGCAGCAAATATGTCAAGAAGGGATTGTCCCCACAGCTAAAAAAAGAAAGAGAAAAAGGGAGAAAAAAACTTAATCTCCTTTGGCACAACTATGAAGGAAAGAAGATACTCATCAGCAATCAAGATGAAATATTTCTTTCCTGCTTAGCCCATCTATCCCACTAAGATTCTGCCACAGTGCTAAACCCCAATAATCCCTGATTAAGAACTAAGCAGAAATGTAGAATAATTATCACATCAAACGTAAAAGGCAAGCATAAGGATAATGTCAATAAGCTTTGATTTGTGCCATGATATTTGTTTTCCTATTTTCCCTTTGCAATATTGAATTAATAATTATTCCTTTCTTCACACCCTACCCCAGTAAAGACACTCGCCAATTATCATTGATACTTTACTACTACTACAGTACTACTACTTTTGACTTGTAAGATTAAAGAAATGAACTTTTCATTGTATGCCATCATTCTTTTTCCATTCCAAACGTTTTATGAGGCATAAACACTTGCCCCAGGGTTTGGACACCACCATGTGGATTCTTAACTTTGCGCACTTTTTGCAAAACCTACTCAATTGCCATTCCAGATCTAACTTCTGATTAGAACGGAATATTAAAATAAATTAAGAAAGGAAACAAAAAGAGTGGAGAAGAAACAGAACAGAACAAAAACAAAGAACAGTCTTCCCACATGATGCATTCTGACAGATTTTTATGATCCCCACAAAATCCCAGACCCTTTAAGGGATGAAGGAAAAGGGCTTCTGGGCTTATTCAACAAATTCTAAATAAATATGGAGTAAATACTTAATTCGGTGAATGATAAACCCAGTTAGAAAATAATACAGGGTCAGCGCTAAAATCATATAATAATCGATTAAACAGATTAAAATACCCAACAATACTATTAAAAGAAACCCACAAAGGAGATTCAACAAAGATCTAAAACCTCACTTTAAAACACTGTAATACACACATGAGTATGTTGAGGAGAAAGGAAAAGGGTACCTGAAGTTATGCCAATGGAGATAGAGGTGGAGGAAATGTGATATATCTTCTGGCGTATGAAGATTTAATTTCAATTTTAAATTTTTGCGAGGGCAGGCACCTGAATTTCTGCTAGAATTTTGTGTGGGTGCTTATAGTGTGGAGCATTTATGTACGTGGGTTTTGATACAAAGGACGCAATAATAATGACAATATTAGTTGTTTAGTCCTTCCTAGCCACCCATTATAGAGTCAACTCTCTCTCTCACCATACAGATTACATACATATTCACCAAAAAAGAAAAGTTGTAATATGACAAAAATTGAAATATATTCTCTCTCAATATAAAAGACACATTTTTTTGTTTGTCCACTCGTCCAAATATAAAAGACACATTTTCCTTTTTCACAAACAAAATAGTGCAAAACAGTGTCAAACAGTGTCAAACAGTGTCAAACAGTGTCTAACAGTGCCTAAATAGTGTCAAATAGTTTCCTCCTAAAACTATTTGATCATGCAAATGTGTTCTTTATATTAGAACGAATGGACTATTTTTTTGTCTATATAAGTAATGGTGTAAAATTTCATAATGTGAGTATTAGAGCATCTCCAATGCGACAATGTGCACGGTGCACATGTGGCATGAGAGAGATAGACACAAAAAATTGAATTTATGACATTTCTCTCTCATTCTTTCCACGGTTTTATGTGTTTTTGGTAAGTTTTCCTCTGCAATGTCAAACACAATGTCTACATCTAGACATTGTGTTTGACATTGTGAAGAAAAACTTACCAAAATGATACAAGATCTTTCAAATAAGGAGAGAGATATTCTATTTATTATTTTTTTATTGGCTATCTCTCATGCCACGTATGCACCGTTCACGTTTTAGCATTGGAGATGCTCTTATGTTTTGAATTCTTAAAAATCAGTACTTGTTATTTTTGAAAAAATAATGTCAATTCTGAAAGTATTATTGTCATATACTCTCTCCGTCGCTAAGATTGTCTCATTTTACCTTTTCAGGAAGTCCCACTAAGATTGTCACATACCAAATTTGGTAAAGATTGTGTGGCTCTAAAACATTCTTACTTTATCAATTTAATATCATTATATCAACCTCACAAACCCACTTTTCTTAATATCAGCCACTTTCTTCCGTCTCAATCTTAATGGGACAGAGTCACAGAGATAGTAATAATCATATAAAATTATCAACATGTTACAGTAAAATATCACCCCGTAGTATGTTAGGATGACATATAGGGAGTACGTTTTGAAATTTTACATTGTTTTCATTCTGATCTTTACTTTAAAATAAACATATACGTAGTAAGATGTACCGTAACCATGAACCATCAATTGAGACAACTTCACTTTTAAGTAAAATTGTGATCTCGACATAAACAAAGATGTTTTTGGAGCTTTTTTTTAAGGAAAAACTTGTATTAATTTAATGACTTTAAATCATAATAATCACCTAAAATTGAGACATCCTAACATAAGAACGGCCATTCGAAGTTCTAACGAGAAAAACAGATTTCGCACATTGTAGTGATTGTACACATAAAACGAGTTTCAAATCTGCTTGTACTTTCTCATAACAAATACTACCTTCGTCCCGTTGGAATGTTCTCACTTTCCTTTTTTGGATGTCCCAATGTAAAGTTCTCATTTCCCTAAATGGAAAGTTATTCCACATCAAAACAGTGTCAAACAGTGCAAAACAGTGTCAAACAGTGTCAAACAGTGTCCAAACAGTGTCCAAATAGTAAAATTTACCCCTGGTAAGTTTATTTCCTTAATATGTGTGTAGGTCAAACCGGGAACATTCCAACGGAACGGAGGGAGTAGGTTCTTCGTACTACGTATGTGTAATACGTACTTCCTAGTATATGTATGATCGAGAACAACATGAACATAATATTACCAAGCATTAGAAGTACAAATTCCAAACAAGATAAACACATTGGAAGCGCTTTTACTCAACCACAAATCGACCAAATTACGTTACTGGATTGCTAATTATTGATCATTGTTTATGAAGTACTATGAACACACGACTCATCTAATTTTAATTTATTTAGGGGAATATCATTCACTTAACAGCTCATACTGGTGGACCTAGTTCCAGAGGCGGAGTCAGGGCACAGGGTCGGGCTGAGCTGATAAAAAGAAATTTTTTGTATTTTTTTTTACAGTGTTACACCAGAAAAGTTTGAATCAACAAAGTGCTATATTAAGACATGGGTTACTCCTCCTATCAGGTTGACCTTTTAGGACGGAACCTCAGATCTTAATACACACAACTTTTAATATGGGCTTGGTCAGGGCCAGGGCTGGCCCTCCCCTAGCTATGCCCCTGCCTAGTTCCAAGTCTTAGGTCGATCAAAACCAGAACCGGCAATTTCTTGGAACTGGACCAGGATCGGTAATACCGGTTCGGTTAGGGCACATGCCCAGGGGGAGCGGTTCACAAGAACCGGTCCCAGACTGCCTTTTGTGAGATCGAGACCGGCTGGTCTGGTCCCAATTCGATCTATCTTTTCGACATTTCAAGCGATGGAAGCATTTGATAAGAGGTGTAAAACGATTTAAAAGCTAAAATGTAGCTAGTGAGGGGGTCGGGAGGGTCCGTGGCGGAACTAGGGGTCAACCTAGACCCCGGTCCACTCCAAATTTAAAACATGTGTTCAAGTATTGTTGTAAAAATATATCCAAAAAAAACTTTTGTACCAGTCCAGTCGATCATGTGCCATGGCTACGCCCCTGGGGAGGGTTTAAAAATATAAAAATTGAGACAAGGGTCGAACTGGGACCCCCCACTTGGGGACCGTAATTCGATTGTAACCAAAAATAGAGGTCCAATCCCAGTTCCCGTGTTTTCCCACCATGGACCGCCTAGTCCGAGACCAAACCCCCAAGAATCACACAGTCCGGGGTAGATAATTTGTATAGTGAATACATAAGTTGTATTTTTTCTCTGAATAAAAAATTAAATAAGTGGAATTTATGATGTCATCCATTACATACACTAGAAGATTAGACAATGTGCACAAGAAATTGAATGACAACGTGAATCAGATAATGTACAGCTTATGTTCATAGTGAATCTAATTATTTTTATTCATCAAAATTATAATTTGAATCAATTATTCTCTAAACTCTTTCCAACTGCTTTTGTAATTCCTTCCTTGGAAAGGAGACAAGTTACCTCTTAAATTATTAGTGTGTCAAAAATGTTGAATATTTTCAATCCAAGGGCCCTCAAATTCGACTCGACAAAGCATATGAAAGGTTGTAAATAATAACTTAATCAATCCTAATGATAATAGAAATTGTCTTGTGTACACTAGAAATCCAGTTAAGTACATAACTAAGTTCAACATCAGATCAGAGACTCAGCTCACCACACCTCACATATACACACCTCAACTATTGAAAAATCAATCATGGCCATTTTACATGTCGGTGGGATAACATGTCACTTCAAAGTAATTGGATGTTAGCTCCTTACCGCACTAGCAGGTAAACTAAGCTAAATTGATGTTTCTAAATGAATTGAATTGTGTATTCATGAGGTTTATCGATTTTCTTTCTTTCTAAATTCTAAAACTATCCCACTTTAGACAAAGTCTTGTTTATGTTTCGTTAGAGCCTTACCAAGTTACCATGGTTTTTTGCATTATTCACTATCATTGGGTATTTGGGTAGCACATATTATAGACCATATAATAAGAATTTCTTATTTCTAGTTATCTGATCTCAAAAAGTCAAAATTGCCCATTTCCTCTGACCTTCTCTCTTGGAGGTTTACTCGCATATCCCTTTTTACATGTCTTTTTTTAATCCCTAAAACCACCTCTAATAGGTGTGATAAATGTCGGGGAACATTTATCAAATTTTATTAATTAAAGATGACAAAAATTTACATCCAAAAAAGAGGAATGTCGGTCAGTTGAGAATTGAGATATAATGAAGCCAAGCCAAACGGATTAAAAACCTACAGAGGAAAACGAGTGAATGTGCTTAGAGAGAGAGGCGGTGGCGATAGCAATTCCTCACCCTGCATCGCGAAAAGGAGGCTCACCTTCTCCATCTAATCTGGGTTGCGGTTCATCTCTGGCTCCGCTTCCTTCATTTTTCTTACTCCAAGTGTGTACGAGTTGATTTTGGTTGTGAAAACTGATAGTTGGCTCTGTGTTTCAGCTGGTTGATGTCATTGTACCCTTTTTTACATATCATTTTATCTACATTATAAGTGATTATCCCTGCTAGATTTAGATTACTCTTACATATTGTTTAAGTTGTTTGACTGTATAATATTACTTACTAAACCGTTTATATATCTAATTAGCATCAAATAAAGCTCATATAATGGCTTTTGATATAAGAATTGACCCAAGTCATATGTATCTTTAAAAATTGGAAAGGCTATTGAGGGGTCAATAGTTCAATACACGCCGTATACAAGAGTCAAGACCCAATCTATCTCAAATGCCTCGAGACTTTTTTCATTTGTGTATACTATCAAATTCTTAATATATTAATGAGTCTTGTACCTATCTCAATCAACCTGAGAGTAACACCGGAAAATTTGAATCAACAAAGTGATATATTAAGACATGAGCTACTCCTCTTATCAGGTTGACCTTTTAGGAAGGAACCCCGAGTCTTAACATGGTATCAGAGCCAAACCGATCCATAACCATGGTGTGTGCCAAAAAATGACGACATGATTATAAAAAAAATGACAATGATGAACCGACCAAAAAAATGAATGACGGCACGATCCAGACGAAGTGTCTGGTTGTGAGGAGGGGTGTTATAATCCCACACCGGAAAAGTTTGATTTAACAAAGTGTTATATCAAGACATGTGTTACTCCTCTTATCAGGTTGACCTTTTAGGAAGGAACCACGGGTTTAACAATTAACTATTGTATGATTTGTATCTTGCGTGTTTTGAAATTTATAAAGACTTTATGCATATGTATATAGTGTCCGTGTTCATAATTAACAAACAAGCATTAATGCTCTTTTGTACTTCTATGATGAGCGTTTTTCACTCTTTGTTGCACTTTAAATTTTCATATAATTATCATGATCATCATATTGTCAAATGAAAAATCGATCATATCCATCCATCTATAGATGGAAATTCAAGATTTATTTTCTGATGCTACGTTTCTTTTAATTACTTATTGTTTTTAAAGTATTAAGTAATATAATGACTGATGACTTACGGATAACCATAACCTTAACATATGAGGGTTGAAACTGAGAAAGACAACGTTCCGTAGTGTGAAATTTCCTAAGTTGCATTACAAAATAATTCTCAAAATCCTCGAGTGTTTGTAAGGATGTATTAGCTACCTCCGTCCCAAAAAAAAATTCCATTTTCAAAACTTTGACCGACTATAACTTTTTATTGAAAATTATTTATGATATAAAAATTATATGAAATTGTTCTTTGTTGAAAGTACTTTCATAAAAGTACAAAACTTACAACTTCCATAATATTATACTTCGGTATAATAAGGGTTCAAATATTATAAGGGTACTTATTAAAATAAGAGTTCAAATTTTTTGAAATGACAAAGTTTTTTTGGTCGGAGGTAGTATGTTAGACCCGTCACCTATCGGTCTTAAGACTAACCTTGTTTAAGATTGGAGATAGCAACAACTAATAGTTTTCATATTTTGTTAAGATCTACTATCTTCGCCCCACTATGTTTGAGACAAAGGGGTGTGACACAATTTTTAAGAAAAAATGAAATTGTGTTGTTGGTTTTGAATTGATAAAGTGTAAATTAAGTAAGAATGAATTGTAAGCACTCAAATATTACAGAATATGATATGAGACAAATTTAATGAGATGAACAAAAAAACGAGACAAAGTTAGGGGATAGTTTTGTGTTAAATTGATCATTTGGTCATATGTTAGGATGGGTGTAAACAGGGTCGTAGACTCGTAGTTATGGAGTTCTGTCGGGCTTGTTTCACCCCAAATTTATATCATTATATCAACTTACCTAATGTGCATCAGTGCATGTGCTCCTACCAAGTACCAATCCCTCGGTGTTAACTATGAGAACATTTCCAATATATATTCATTTTTAGTTTAGGCGTGTGGCGCAAAAGCGGGTGTGATATATGCAGACAAAAAGTGCAAAATACAATATTCCCTTATTTAGAAGAGTTTGAAAACAAAATAAATTGGGGATTTTCTACTAAAATGTTACTATGTTAGTTGCATAATGTGTATATTAAAATGGGCACAAATCCATTGTACATCTTCAACATATAACCATATGACTATCTTTACACCATCACACATTAGCAAATATTTTGATCTTAGGATGTCTTTAATGAAACTGTAATTTTTTTATTTTATCCGATCTAACGGTCTATTTAAATTTGATATGGAAATTGCTGCTCTCAAAAAGAATTTTACTTGGAGCCTTGTGTCCTTGCCTCCTGGAAAGCGAGCCTTGGGATGCCGGTGGGTGTATAAAGTCAAACATAAATCTGATGGTACTGTTGAACGCCTTAAGGCACGGTTGGTAATTTTTGGTAATAGGCAGGTCGCCGGATGGTAATAGACTATACCAAAACCTTTGCCCCAGTTGCCAAAACGGTTACCGTTCGTGCATTTCTTGCTATAGCTGCATGCAAAAATGGGGAGCTGCATCAAATGGATGTACATAATGCATTTCTTCATGGTGATCTACATGAAGAGGTATACATGACCATCCCTCCTGGTTACACCACCACTGACTCATCTTTGGTGTGTCGTCTTCATAAGTCTTTGTATGGACTTAAACAAGCTCCGCGGTGTTGGTTTGCTAAATTGGTCACTGCACTTAAACAATATGGTTTTCTCCAGTCATATGGTGAGTATTCTTTATCTACGCTTACTCGTGGTGTTATTAAGCTCAATGTACTGGTGTATGTCGATGATCTTCTTATCTCTGGGAATGAAGGTACTGCTATCGCTGATTTTAAATCCTACCTTAATGAATGTTTTCATATGAAGGATTTGGTCACTCTTAAATATTTTCTTGGCATTGAGGTTGCCCGCAGTTCTTCTGGCATATTTCTCAATCATAGAAAATATGCATTTGATTTATTACTGAAACTGGTCTCTTGGGTGCCAAACCAGACTCTTTTCCAATTGAACAAAACCATGATCTGGGAGGCGCTTCCGGTCCGCTACACCCAGATCCTAAACAATATCGCCACCTCATTGGAAGGCTCATTTACTTGGCGGTTACTCGCCCGGATCTTACTTATTCGCTTCACATCTTATCTCAGTTCATGCAAAATCCTCGGACTGAGTATTGGTCCGCTGCACTACGAGTTGTCCGGTATCTTAAGGATTCTCCGGGTCAGGGTATTCTCCTCCGTGCTGACAGTGATCTTACTCTGATTGGTTGGTGTGATTCTGAATGGGCTGCCTACCCTCTTACTCGGAGATCCCTTTCTGGTTGGTTAGTGTTTCTTGGTCACTCACCCGTTTCTTGGAAGTCTAAGAAACAATCAACTGTCACCCGATCATCTGTCGAAGTGATATGCACTAATTAGTAGTGCATAAGTGTATGTTTTTATGATTGATTTGTGTGTATTGTTTATCGTTTTATTTAGTTTGTAAACATTTATGTGATTTTAGTTGTAATTGTATTTTAATCTTCATTTGTAAGTTGGAAAGTAGAGTTAGGATTTATGGTGTTGGAAAGGAAGACTTTGAAGTGAAGAAAAATGATTATTGGCTGCCCAGGACAATCACCCGGTCGGGTGAGGTATTGCACCCGGTCGGGTGAGACATTGAAATGCGAAACTGCTCAGGAAATTACATCACCCGGTCGGGTGAGGTATTTCACCCGGTCGGGTCCGACTTGACTCGGAACACCAGAACGTGCCGAAGATCATCAGAACGTGGAGGATATCTGATTTTGACCGGACCCGGTCGGGTAGGTACCTAACCCGGTCGGGTACCCGGCCCAAGGTGTTGAAAAACACCTATAAATAGCACACTTTTCCTTCACTATTTTCCACTCCTTCTTCCATACTCTTAAGCTCGGTTTAGAATAGTATTTCTTTTATATTTTTATAGCATGTTTAGTCTCCAAATGAGGAGCTAAACTTCCATTTCTTGGTATTGCTCTTTAATGGAGCTAAACTTCCATTAAAGTTGTGAGTTATTTTCTTAACTTCTTCCTTTGAATATTAATTATTCTCTTAATCTATCTCTATGTTAATGTTGGGGAGTGTTGCTAAGATGACAATTACTTAACATCTCAACATTAATTACTACTAGAAACGTTCAATGAACCGATGGTTAATCATTGATGGTTTCACAAGTAAGTAACTTCGGTTTATTAATGCACGGTCGTGGTTAATAAACTTAAGAGAGATTAATTTTATTGGTTAAACCGAAACCGTTGTGTTGAGGTTATCAATCTCAATTGATTTCATCAAGGAGTTAAGAGACTAAATGCTACTATCAAGTCGTTATATGACGGTGTTCTATACTTGACTAATAGTAAGGGTTATTAATGAACGGTCGTTGTTAATAACTACCCTCGATGAATTGGATATACTCCTCGATTGAGTATTCGAGAGGGGATAAGTTATAGATATAACAATGATCGACTAAAATATATCAACAAGTGGAAAGTAGCAATGCCAAGTCCTTTTTATCTTTGAATTAAATCTCATATAAGACCTTCATCTTAGTATTTATTTATTAAATTCCAACAATACCAAAACCCCCCTTTTATTTACTAGTTCATAAAAAGAGAATTATTCATTTCCCTGTGGATACGAACTCTACTTCACTATACTATGTATTAGTGCTAGTATTGAATTTATTTTGACGCACCGTGACAAAGTGCATGTCAAATTTGGCGCCGTTGCCGGGGAAAGGCAATTATTTTTCTTTTTATTTTATCTCATAAAAATCAAAAACAAAAAAAAATAAAAAAAAATATTAAAAAAAAAACTTACTCTTCTATTTTCTAAGCTTACATGAGTTATGAGTGTATGGATACCAACATTTCATCCTTAGAGAGTCAAATTTCCTTCTTGACTTCTCTAATAAATGAATTTATCTTAAGCTCAAAAGCTCAAGATGCCAAGACATGCAACATTTGCATGTCTCACAGGCATCTAACGGATTTCTGCCCAAAGCTCCAAGATGAATACCTTGAACAAATTGATGAGGTTGGTTACGAAAGGGATGTACCTCACATGAGGTATGATCTGTTCTCCAACTCTAACATGTCTACGGAGGATATGGTCCGGGCTATTGCTACCAACATGACCACCATGCAAAACAACATGGTGCAATTCCAAAATGAGACCAAGTCTAGCATTTTAAACTTGGAAACTCAAATGAGTCAAATAGCCGGAGCCGTGAGTAGGCTTGAAGCAAGGGATTCGGAAAAACTTCCTTCTCAAATAGAATGTGATCCTAAACAGCAAACTTTTGCAATCACATTAACAAATGAAAAGGAAATGCAAAAGGAGATCCAAAATCCAGAAGAAGTAGAAGAAGTAAAAGACACGGAGCTCCAACTGGTCAAAGAAGAGGATAAGCCGAGCTTCAAATTCAAATTTTTGTCATTGTCATCGTTTGAGGTATCTCCATCATTTCTGGAAGCTTTAAAAGAAACTCATAAACTTGAAAAGGACAATGACATTTCTAAAATCTTCTTCAAAATTGAGGGATCGAAAAACTTTTCATTGACCATACTAAACGACAATTTCTTCCCCTTCCTCCCACCACATGAATCAATGAAAATCTGGATATTTGATCCTGGAAAGATTTTCAAAGTGAAGGGTCAGAAAATTGAGCATTTCTATGAAAGTCCTAGGAATGAAAATTTGAAGAAGATAAGTTATCACAATCCAAGCTTGAACGATTGAACACAATGATGGCGTCGTGCCGCGACGTTAAACGAGGCGCTTCTTGGGAGGCAACCCATGCAAGGTACGTTTACTTGTTTTGTTTTATTTTTGCACTTTTCAAAAAAAAAAAGTTAGGTCTGGGGCAAATACCCGATCGGGTATCACTTTGACCCTGGTCGGGTACCTTTTAAAAACATCACACCCACCCCATCACCCGGGTGAGGAAGGCAAAGGAAAAGAAAATCTTGTTCCACCCGACCGGGTAACTCAACCCACCCGACCGGGCATTTTAAATCAAAACCCACTGCCTCCTCTAAAACTTAACACCCGACCGGGTAAAAAAAACTCCCACCCGGCCGGGTGAACAGAAAATTGGCCCTTAAGCAAACAGGTGAAGCTTTCTTCTTTTCAATTCCAACAATCCCAATTCGGACCCAACACTAACAAACCTCCATAGCCAAAGCTTCAAACGTTTCATATCTCCCACATCCATCCACCAAACCCACAAACCAACCCCATTTTTTTTTCTCCTCTCCAGTTCTATACCAACAAAACCCACCAAATTACCCAAAATCCGAATTCCCTAACTCCACCTACACCAAGTCAGAAATGGCACCACAAAAAGGGTTCATCTTCTATGACGTCTTGAAGATGAGCACTAGGGATAGTGCTTTGGCAAGTGTGGGGGTGTTAGAGTTTTATGGACTACTCGCATTCATACTCTTTATTCTTGTTAAAAAAAATGTTCAAAAAAAAAAGAATAAAAAGCTTGTTAAGTTGAAAACCTGAAAAGACAACTTAAGCAAAAATAAAGCAAAAATAAGAGTGAGTTGTGAGGATTGAAACAGAAAAATGTGGGAAGCTGGGATGAAAACCCGAAAGGGCACCTAGGCAAAATGAGAGAATGAGAGAAAGTTTTTTCTTTTATTTCTGCAGGATCCTAAGGGTAACGAAAAAAAATTGAGATTGATAAGAAATATGGAGTTGAAGACCCCTCTTTACTCTTATATTTTGGGGATATTTTTTGGTTTACTCGAGACGAGTAAAATGTTCAAGTGTGGGGGTGTTTGATACACTAATTAGTAGTGCATAAGTGTATGTTTTTATGTTTGATTTGTGTGTATTGTTTATCGTTTTATTTAGTTTGTAAACATTTATGTGATTTTAGTTGTAATTGTATTTTAATCTTCATTTGTAAGTTGGAAAGTAGAGTTAGGATTTATGGTGTTGGAAGACTTTGAAGTGAAGAAAAATGATTATTGGCTGCCCAGGACAATCACTCGGTCGGGTGAGGTATTGCACTCGGTCGGGTGAGACATTGAAATGTGAAACTGCTCAGGAAATTACATCACCCGGTCGGGTGAGGTATTTCACCCGGTCGGGTCCGACTTGACCCGGAACACCAGAACGTGCCGAAGATCACCAGAACGTGGAGGATATCTTATTTTGACCGGACCCGGTCGGGTAGGTACCTAACCCGGTCGGGTATCCGACCCAAGGTGTTGAAAAACACCTATAAATAGCACACTTTTCCTTCACTATTTTCCACTCCTTCTTCCATACTCTTAAACTCAGTTTAGAATAGTATTTCTTTTATATTTTTATAGCATGTTTAGTCTCCAGATGAGGAGTTAAACTTCCATTTCTTGGTATTGCTCTTGAAGCTTGTTGATTATTAAAGTTGTGAGTTATTTTCTTAACTTCTTCCCTTGAATATTAATTATTCTCTTAATCTATCTCTATGTTAATGTTGGGGAGTGTTGCTAAGATGACAATTAGTTAACATCTCAACATTAATTACTACTAGAAACGTTCAACGAACCGATGGTTAATCATTGATGGTTTCACAAGTAAGTAACTTCGGTTTATTAATGCACGGTCGTGGTTAATAAACTTAAGAGGGGTTAATTTTGTGGGATAAACCGAAACCGTTGTGTTGAGGTTATCAATCTCAATTGATTTCATCAAGGAGTTAAGAGACTAAATGCTACTATCAAGTCGTTATATGACGGTGTTCTATACTTGACTAATAGTAAGGGTTATTAATAAACGGTCGTTGTTAATAACTAACCTCGATGAATTGGATATACTCCTCGATTGAGTATTCGAGAGCGGATAAGTTATAGATATAACAATGATCGACTAAAATATATCAACAAGTGGAAAGTAGCAATGCCAAGTCCTTTTTATCTTTGAATTAAATCTCATATAAGTCCTTCATCTTAGCATTTAATTAATTAAATTCCAACAATACCAAAACCCCCCTTTTATTTACTAGTTCATAAAAAGAGAATTATTCCTTTCCCTGTGGATACGAACTCTACTTCACTATACTACGTATTAGTGCTAGTATTGAATTTATTTTGACGCACCGTGACAAAGTGCACGTCAAATTTGGCGCCGTTGCCGGGGAAAGGCAATTATTTTTCTTTTTATTTTATCTCATAAAAATCAAAAACAAAAAAATTAAAAAAAATATTAAAAAAAAACTTACTCTTCTATTTTCTGAGCTTACATGAGTTATGAGTGTATGGATACCA